TCTTATATATATATATATATATATATATATGTATGTATGTATTTATGTCACCATAGCGTTTTTACAATGAATGTTGTTATTTCGAAAGAGGTTCACAATAACTAAGGTAACTATCTATGTGAGAGATCAACTTTAAGAGGATGCTATAAAGATATGCCGCTTAATTATGTCTCAAAGCGCCACTGACATCTTCGGTTGTTGTTGTTTTTTTGTTGTTGTTTTTTTGTTGTTGTTTTTTTGTTTTTGTTGTTTTTGTTTTTTGTATCGTTAATGCTTTTTTTTTTTTTTAATTGTTATTTAAAATAAGCAGTGAAAGGGTGAACATGACCCGTCAAATTACGGGCTATTTTACTAGTATGACTCTAAAACTAGATCTCGCGGTGCCCCGACTGTTGTGGATCGTCTCACCGCTAAGTCTGCGTCGGACGGCCTCGTGGTGAAGTAGAGCGTAGCAGACCCCCGTGAGACGATATGTGTGGGAATGGCGTCACGCCTGAGTGACCCCCACGCTGCCAGCTACATAGAGACCCACTCGACGTGACTTCATTAAAATGAAGTGAGTCGGTCAGAGAGAAGGGGGAATGTTTGTAGCCTGACTTGCCGGGCTTCAACACGTTCCCGATGTCGAGAGTCAGCCGTCGTCGGGACAATGGTGTAGGCTGCAATAAGTTGGCTATGAAGGACAAAGAAGAAAATGTATTATGTTAGCTCTCTTTTACTGTTATATGATCCGATTCATGTTTTGCAAATGGGTAGATGAAATTTGCTGAGTTTATACATTGCTACAAACTTTTTTTGTACGGACAGTCCAAATAAGCTTAACGCTCAATTATAATTTGAGAACCACTTTTGTTTGTATTGACTAGCACAAGATTTTTTTTTAAACGACAGGGTGCAACTGTTCACACCAGTTCATTAAAACCGATTCTATTTTCTTTTTTTTTTTTAATTTCTTCTATTCCAGTTATTGCTCTGTTAACGTTTGATCCCCATTCACGACAATTAACGTTGGACAATTATGGTCCAATGCGAATACTGTTTCCACAGTTGAGAGACCCATTCTCATCTACAACTTGCCAACATAATTAATTCTTTTCACTATGCACCGATGACGAATACGTATATGAATTCAATATGTGGGAGTTTCAGTGCTGTTACTTTTGGCGCATACCGATCCCCCTCCCCAGACCACTTCCTTTCTTTCACTCGAGAGCCTTCAACGCCCTCGATTTCAGCTCCCCTGTGTGTGGATTACTATCTGTACCTTTCTAGTATTACACTTGTTCACAGCTGTGCTATAAGTTAATATAGTTTTTTTTTTTTTTTATTTCTGTATATTTTGATTTTGCGTATTTATAGCCTCTTAATAGTATCTTTAAATTGATTATTGTTCACACCACTATCACAATTCGCTGGCGATTTATTTGTATACCATTGTTCAGTCCTTTGTTACGCATTGTTCAGTCCTTTGTTACGCATTGTTCAGTCCTTTGTTACACATTGTTCATCTAACGAGACAAATCTTAAAACAGGTTACATTTTCCAAACCACATAACGGTACGTGACCAATTGGGGGGCTCTCCCGGGACTTTAGCCATTTTGTTCTTACCTCGACCAACAACAAATGTTTTTTTTTCGTCCGTAGATTTAATCCATATTTTTTAATAATACAAAGAAATATTTGGTTCCACTCTATCATTTAACGATATCATTATCTAAAGCTAGTTTCTTACTTTTTACTGACATAATTGTGCTCATTAATGCATGTAAATGTTTGATCATTGTGTATTAAGTGGATGAAGATCTGTTGTCTGAGGATGATCTGGCCTCAGCCAATGAGCAATATAACCCTAAAATAAAACCCTCCAGCTAAAGCTAAAACAAAATGGAGCTCAAGCTAACGCTACAACAAAATGGAGCTCCAGCTAAAACAAAATGGAGCTCCAGCTAAATAAAACAAAATGGAGCTCCAGCTAAAGCTAAAACAAAATGGAGCTCCAGCTAACGCTAAAACAAAATGGAGCTCCAGCTAAAGCTAAAATAAAATGGAGCTAGATGCAGAGATGAAAAGAGGACAAATATAGAGAGCTAGAATTCAAATTAAAAGAAATGGAGGTTATAAGCAACCACAATGCAAGGGAAGAGAGAAATAGAGAGATGGAGAGAGAGAAGGAGAGGGAGAGAGGGGTTTGAGAGATAAAGAGATTTGTGATATTACACTTACAGTTTGAGTCTCTGTTCCAGATTTCAAAGATAATCTACAAGTATTTATCGATTTGAAAGTAGAGTTGGTATATCCGGGATATGTATGCATGTAACTGTGAATTAGATGTACCAACAATTCACCACACACACACAGTACTCATTATGTCAACCATACAAGCGACACACTTTAGAGCGCATTCTTATTTTTGGGGTAGAACTGACGACGATTTGTAGACAAAACCCGTCGTGCAGTAAAAGGGGCTGAGAACCGCCGTGCGCCTGTCAGGTATCGTTAGAGTTAAGCAGCGCTCAAGACACCGGCCATTTCGAGGTTGTCAGAGATTTGTATGGACGGACCCACAGGTCAAAGGTAGGTGATAAAATGGCTGGCCTTACTCGAGGGGCCCTATCAGATGAAATGTCAAATCAGCGCAAACCGGTCGCCCACCCATATGGCTTTTGGTCCGGACATTTATTGCCATCTGTCATGTGCCGGAACAGGCTAATCGGCCATCTTGGGTTATAAATGGCGGACTACTCTAAAACCACGAGTCTATCACGTGGCCTTAAAAAATATTTTAAATTGCTCAATTAAATATGATCAAAAGCCTCAATAGAGTAAGAGTGACTCAAAGGTATATTTTCTGAGAGTCTGAAATAACACACAGGCTTTCATCCGAAGTGTCCATTTTACTGCCTTGTCTTTAACCATCAATGCTAGGTTTTTTCCCCCCACACAATTTGAACGCAACCCCATGGGACAATCAGCTTCGTAGCAAGCGAATGACTTTAGGCGCCCTTTTCCCCCAAAATCATATACTGACTAAAACATATTTTGCTTGAAAAATGACGCTTTGGTGGCGTCTGGAGATGACGTATCTGGAGATGACGTATATGAAGATGACGTCTGTGAGGAAGACGCCCAACGGCTTGTGTCCCCTTCGACCCGTTACATCGCACTTCGGTGATAGTAAGAGCAGTGGCGCAGCTAGGGGTTGCGGACCGCACAAGCTGACACCATCTTAGGGGTTGACACCAAATTGAAAAATTGCATATTTACAGAGCACACACACTGCTCGGTCTAACAGAGCACACACTGCTCGGTCTAACAGAGCACACACTGCTCGGTCTAACAGAGCACACACTGCTCGGTCTAACAGAGCACATACTGCTCGGTCTAACAGAGCACACACTGCTCGGTCTAACAGAGCACATACTGCTCGGTCTAACAGAGCACATACTGCTCGGTCTAACAGAGCACATACTGCTCTGTCTAACAGAGCACATACTGCTCGGTCTAACAGAGCACATACTGCTCTGTCTAACAGAGCACATACTGCTCTGTCTAACAGAGCACATACTGCTCGGTCTAACAGAGCACATACTGCTCGTTCTAACAGAGCACATACTGCTCTGTCTAACAGAGCACATACTGCTCTGTCTAACAGAGCACATACTGCTCGGTCTAACTGAGCACATACTGCTCTGTCTAACAGAGCACATACTGCTCGGTCTAACAGAGCACATACTGCTCTGTCTAACAGAGCCCATACTGCTCGGTCTAACAGAGCACATACTGCTCGGTCTAACAGAGCACACACTGCTCTGTCTAACAGAGCACACACTGCTCGGTCTAACAGAGCACATACTGCTCTGTCTAACAGAGCACATACTGCTCGGTCTAACAGAGCACATACTGCTCTGTCTAACAGAGCACATACTGCTCGGTCTAACAGAGCACATACTGCTCTGTCTAACAGAGCACACACTGCTCGGTCTAACTGAATTTCCAAAACGAATAACCGATCACCCGTACATTCCCCACACATATAACTAAAACAAATTGTTTGCTTTATTAAAAATTCAAGGTTGATGGGTACAAAAAAATGTGTTGACCCTATACTTAGGTGAGAGAAACACCATTTTGACCATGATTCAATGTTGACACGATTTACTCGATAACTTAGCTACATTTATCTAAATTCTAGGAGATAAAGCTTTCCATTGATACCAAATGGGATGTGGTCGGGCGAGTCTAAGTAGACTACATGAACCCGAATCGGTAGAGATTGAAAACAATTTTAAAACTTTTAACTATTTATAGTTTAATAACAAAATTATATTTTTACAAATGATCTAATATCTTTTAATAATTAATTACTTTTAATTGTTGTTTTTTTTAAGTTTTGGAAACCAAGTATATCGAAACCCAGAAGTATTCAAAAGAAATATTTTCGCCGATTCGTCAATAGCACCGCCCTTTACCATTTGAGCACAAGTGTCAAAAAGCACAAGGTATTTTACATCCTCTATGTCCATCTGCTACCTTTAGCTTTGGGCTGATCTACTTGGGGAAGTTAATCTTACACTGTAGTGTCTGCAGACTGAAGCTTTTACACTTGACAAAGTGGTGACCAACCCAGAGGCCTTTAGATTGTTTCTGCACGAGAAGCACAGTCACTTGGTGAAACATACGATTGAAAAGGTAGTTTAAAAATCAGACCAATGGGAAGTTTTGGTAGAGAGAGGATGAAGGTTTAAGAAGACTATGGCAGGAGAACTTTTTAAGGAGTTACCATGGGACAATCGAGGCTTTCTGATCTGGCGCTATTATCATTTTAAAGTGATACAGTGAAGGATATCGATTGAGATCAAGTGATTGACAAGTTTGCAGCGTTGAGACCAGTAAAGTTTCAAATAAAATAAATTTAATGTGATAATAAATATGAATTGACGTTGTTAGTGTTTTTAAATACATACATTTTACATTTTCAGCACGTAAATATAACAATTTGAGCACGAGACATCCACATTAAATTATTCATTAAATTATTATTAAATTAAGTTTTCATGGATTACATCCAAAAATTTCTCAATAGCCTGCAGCTTTGGGTGAACTCCCTAGGTAGGTAAAATAGCTTTAAAGTGATGCAGAGTCGTTCTATGTCGGGTGTACGAGCAACGTGTTTCACTGCACTGTTGTTGATACTACAGTAGTTTTTGTTAACATATATTGCCAATTCCCCTCCCTTGGATTTGCCGCTGTCGGTTGTTCTATCTTCACGAAAAATGTTAAATTCGTCCCGTGCCCAACTGCTGAATCTGGTACCTTTTTATTAAGCCATGTTTCTGGCAGGCATAGTAAATAGTCATGGAATGTACAAAACAAAATACAAATACACCCACACGTCTTTCTTTTTTTGTAATATAAAAAAACCACACAAAAAACATGAGTACAAATAACCCATGATCCGTGTGGCCTGTATAATTAACTTTTATTGATTCTTTTAACCTAATAGTTAGCTCTGACATTTCCGGAAAAACCTAGTAATTAATAATACAAAAATGATGATGAGATTTTAAATTGGCAAAAAAAAAAAATCATAGCTTAAAAACTTTCAAATATTTTTTGTCTTTTTTTAAAGAAGAATTTAAATCTCTTAAAATCTGCAATGTATTTCTTCTCGGTTTCGTTATTTAAATCAAGGAAATGAAGAATACTAAATTATGTAGAAGTGGGACACTGTGGAGTCCATCCATGGTCTTCGCCATTGTCATCTCGTAAATATTCCAGTAGAGGTTTGAAGTAGTCAATGAGAGGCTGGGCGTCCATTTTGTATTGTCCTGTGAGTAGGTACATGGCTTCCGGCCAGGGCTTGGAGGAGCCGAGTTTTAACACGTTACTGGGGAAATAAAAAATTGGATTAGTTTAAGTTAACAATTGGATTAACTGAAGTTAATAATTGGATTAACTAAAGTTAAAAATAGGACTAGCTGAACTTAACAACAGGATTAGGTTGAGTTGACAATGGGATGAGCTGAAGTTAACAATTGCGTGAGCTGGAGCAAAGTCATTTTATTAGAAATCAATATAAACTAGATGCTCTCGTCCATTGCATATCTAGGAAATCTGTTTATCTCTTTCAAGTCTGTTCACATCTTGTTGCGATTTTTGTCACCTCAAAGATCATTATTTTCTCAGCGAGTTTTCAAATTGTATACACTTGCTATCCAAACAGAAACATGAAAATTATTTTTTTAGTATTCCCTTCTTGTATACCAAAACGTGAAATATTATTCTATAATCCTTACAGGGGGGAGGGGGGGGGGCGTAAAAAACAAGATACCTGAGAAGTGTTCAACTTGCTATCCAAACAGAAACATGAAAATTATTTTTTTAGTATTCCCTTCTTGTATACCAAAACGTGAAATATTATTCTATAATCCTTACAGGGGGGAGGGGGGGGGGCGTAACAAACAAGATACCTGAGAAGTGTTCCAGCAGCCTTGCTGTTGTAGATATTACATTTGTGAAGTGGGCCTTGATGTCCCGAGACGTCACATAGGGCTTTATGGAACTGGAAATGGATCACAGCACTAACGAAGTACCTTGAATAATAATTGAGAACAAGTTGGAATAAGATGTTTTAGTAAAAAGTTAATAGCTTGTTAATATATTTATATGCATATGTAATGTTAATATCTCAATCAATTCACAGCGTAGTTAGATTAATGTGTGCCTATGTTTGCATCTCATTCTAATCACAATGAAGTTACTTTAATGTTTTAATGAACTGTGCCATGAATGAACTGTGCCATTAATGAACTGTGCCATGAATGAACTGTGCCATAAATGAGCTGTGCCATGAATGAACTGTGGCATGAATGAACTGTGCCATGGATGAAATGTGCCATGAATGGCCTGAGACATGAGTCAGCTTGTCTAAAGCCAAAATGACCACTGTAAAATACGTTTAATACCACATCGGTTAATTGGGTGTGTTCATGGGATCTGAGAAAGAAAACAAAACCCACCCCTTAAAGGCAATGTGTTTGTCTAAGTCAGTTATATTCATGTTTGTTTGCATTATGTAATTGGACGTGATTTATCATTTCTTAAAAAGACGCTCTGTATTATTTGGCAAACTTCTAGCAACATTTAGTTTCATATTTCCTTTATTTTCCATTCAAAATAATTTTTTTTTTTAAATATTTCTGCAATGGCTTTTCTTTAGAGAGTGAAGCCGTATCAAACTTCTAGTAAGGGTTAAACTGTATTACCTTTCTTGAATCTTCGGTCCCGACAAATATTTTTATTTATTTTAAATTGGGGGAAAAAACATACTTTTTGGGAAGGAGGGGTGGTTTGAGGGTAGGAGGAGGGGCTGAAAATTTGAAAGAACGTAGTAGTCATTGGCGACGAGTCTCTGTGTGTCAAGTTTCAGCTCGATAGGATCACGGGAGTTCGGTCAGTTGGCCTTCCGAGGATTTTTGCATCAAACAAACACACGAGGAAACACGAATAAAAGATTTAAAACTCTTTTCATCATTGCATCACCTTTTTTCCAGTTGACTGATTGCATAACAGGCAGATTGTGACGTTTATTTTGGTTTATCCTTTATTAAAGATACACAGAAAAAAGGGGGGGGGAGAGGGGAAAGAGAGAGAGAAGACAGAAATACAAAGGAGAGAAAGAATGGGAACAGATAGATTTGGGAAAGAAAGAAGGGCGTCATGGAGAAATAGAAAGAGAGGGAAATAGAGAGAGGAGACAGACATACAGAGGAGAGAAAGAGTGGAGACAGAGAGACATAGGAGAAAAAAGAGGGAGAAATAGGAGAGGCAGAGAGAGATAGAGAGAGAGGAGATAAATAAGAGAGTTTATAAATATAAATATAAGAATAGGGAAACAAATCTAATTCATCGTGAAGCGATCATCACCTGATGTAAGAAACATCTGCTGGTATGTGATATTTGGCACCTGGGTCAAAGTCCGAAGAGTTATTGGGAACAGGTGAAGATAAACCCTGGTACTTACATCTAGAGACAAAAGTGTAATTACCAAGTTTACAATACAAAGGTGTCAATACAAAGGTGTAAATACTAATTTGTGAATACTGAAAGTATAAATGCAAATGTGTCTATCCAAAGGTGTACATACTAATATGTCAATACCGAGTTGTCAATAAAAAAGTGTCAATACAAAGGTGTCATTGCTAACCATAGCAATTAAATAAATTAATCATTGAACCTGGATGTTTTATTTGTAATTATATTAGTTCCTTAACATAACAATAGGAAAACTTTATTTTTTGTTTGAGAATTATATACGAAAATAATTGGATGATTATTTGATAGAGTTAAGAGGCCCATTTTTTTAGTGTTGTCAGCTGGACAATGAAATCAATACATTAATATATCAGTGGTTTACCTGAGGTTCCACCATTCATCATTGTACTTATCAGGTGTAATATCACCTCTAAACACACTCCATAGCCACTGGTCAATGAGGTAGCCGAAAGGAAGAAAGGCGACCTTCTGTAGGGCCATGCTCATCAAGAAGTTGATATCAGATTCTGTGTTAAGAACTTAGTTATAATACGATGTCAGTAATCTCATTGAAACATTATTCTATGTACAACTTTCTTGCTAATATTTCAAGAAATAAGTTAAATTAACACCATGAAATTATAAGATAAAAAATATCAAACTATAAAAAAATTTGCTGGGGCGACGTGAAGTTTTTCAAAAATAAATCTTCGCTAAAATTCTAAATATGATCATTGCGAAATAGCATCAGAGAGCTATTAATGCCCTACCCGACGCTCCTCCACATAGCCCAGACGCCGGGTCTCCCTGACGCCAGACCATGCAGCGTCAAGCCAAGAACTTCCCTGGACCTGGATCGCCCCACCCTTAACCACTGGATCGGATATGCGGTTGGAGGCTTTCCCCGCCCGGGAACGTCCAGTCGATCGAAAACGCTGCGTTTAAAGCGTTCGCAGCAGACTCTCCCGGGGAGTAAAGATGTTAAATTTCAGTCTAATTATCTCCCCCCATCCATTCCGGGGAAGAATCGGATGCCCTCTAAGAGTGTTTCTACAGTTGCTTTTCACCACGCAACTAGTTTGCGAAGTAGCAGGGACGAAACGGTTACCTATGAGCAGCTTTCTAAGGTCTGCGTAGTTAGAATAATCAAATAGATGATTACACGTTTGCCTCTAGCCTCATGGCAAGTTGCAATCATGATCCCTACACTGTCTCTGCCTTTACTTCCAACTGTAAAGCGTCACAGCTGGCAGCCCTGTTGGTGCTGTTTTATTTTCGGCAGGTACCATGCAACCATGCATGCCCCTTGTCTGCCCACGCAGGACCTGCAATATGGGTTTTGTACCCCGGGTAACGCCTTTGGGGTTCGGTGGCCAGCGCATCCTAATCGGAAATCCACCACAGACTTGTCGATCGAAACCCCAGGGCGATCGCTACAATACAATGCGATCTATTCATAGCTTGGGCTTATATTGTCTCATATTTGAATCTAAATATATAAAGGACGAATACCACCCCCCCGATCAAGAGGTCTCCAGAAAACAGCGTGCTCTGTAAAGTTGATTTTGTCCATGGACATTGCTCTTTCCTATAGGCGCGCACTGACAAGGCTTTTTTCTCAATGCAGCTTTCGTGTTTGGCGAAGAATCCATAAACCCCATAATGCTAGAAGCGTCATCTTTTATACACATAGACTTCTTTAAAAGAAAGAAAAGCTTGATTTCCTATGTCATGAATATATAACTTGAGACCGTCGAAATGTAAGGTACTTTTATAGAAGAAATACATCTTAACCCAATTCAATAAATTACATAAACATTTTAGGTGTTAAATATACACATAGCAAGTGGGGAAGGAAAACGGAGAAAATAGAAAGGTATGAAGTAGAGAAAGAAGCATTAATACATTAGAATAAAAAAGATTTGAGACAAAATGAAGGTGATCAGGAGGATACTTGTCTGATTTAAGATAGTCCGGGAAGAGATAAAAGAGTGTATAAATTGTGAGCGTTGGGAAAGTAAAGAGAGAGTAATACCTTCATCATTTCTAAGTTATTCCAAAAAGTTGACATGTATAACTTACCTTCATCATTGTTAACGGATGGAATAAGTCCGATGGAATGTAAGTATTCCGGAGTCTGGACTGACAGCGTTACGACGTCACCAACTGCTACGTGAAATCCTATGTTATAAAGATAAAGAAACAAGTGACAAAAGGGCTTAAGAAAGTACATACGAGATTACTAATGAGACATTAACTTTCTGATCAATAAATAACTGACGCAGTACACCAAAAAAAAAATTAAATCTTTATTTTGTGTCAAAGCCATTAAATTAACATTCACACACCGGGATTGGCTCCATCTCTGAAGAGAATCGGCTGGTCTTTGTATTGTAAGTCGTATTCGATATGACCCATCAGTTTGTGAGCTTTCAAAAAATCAGTAGCCGTGATCACCGTGCACTGTATAATTCTATAAAACACAAGACTAAAATCTTCAGCATTGGTCAGATTCATTATCAAACAGGACTAACTTTTCAAATTATCATCCACATTGTTAATCAAACAAAATTGTTGTTTTTTGGGTTTTTTTTAAACCTTTTTTTTAATTTTTTTTATTTTCGAAAGGGTAAATTGGTTTAGAAAAAGTCCATATATTTTGAAAGCGAAAATCTGAAAATCCCAATGAACACTGTGTTGAATCCTAGGAATTATTTCGATCAAATTGTAATTGAAATTAAAATGTATTTATTGAAAAACGTTCCAAGATAAAATGTATCACTTGAAAGACGTGCACACTTAAAATGTTGGATTAGGATGTTTGAATGTCCAATACACGTTCACCTGAAATCCTTGCCATTAAAAAAATCCCAGGCGATGCCTTGACAATCGAGGTCACGGCCATCTTTGGGTTTTTCCAACAGGGAATCACTCCAGAAGCTGTCGGGCATTTCTATCATCCCCAGAGATTTGAAGAAATCGTTGGCCGTCTGAAATATCTTGAGTGCCGTGTAGTTCTGGAAGATAAAGTCATGTTACTATCAAAGTGCTAGAGGTGTTACTGTCAAACAAAAGATGATACTGTGAAAGTGCTAGAAATGTTAATTTCAAAGTTATAGAGATTTTACTGTCAAAGTGCTAGAGATTTTACTGTTAAAGTGCTAGAGATGTTACTATCAAAGGGCTAGAGATGCTACTGTCAAAGTGCTAGAGATGTAACTGTCAAAGTGCTAGAGATGTAACTGTCAAATTGCTAGACAAGTCACTGTCAAAGTGCTAGATGTTACTGTCAAAGTGCTAGAGATGTTACTATCAAAGTGCTGGTGATGTTAATGTCAAACTGGTAGAGATGTTACTATCAAAGTGCTGGTGATGGCAATGTCAAACTGCTAGAGATGATACTTCCAAAGTGCAAGATATGTTACTGTTAAAATGCTAGAGATGTTACTGTCAAAGTGCTAGAGATGTAACTGTCAAACTGATGGACATGTTACTGTCAAAGTGCTAGAGATGTTACTGTCAAAGTGTTGGAGATTATAAATTTCAATTATATTGAAACAAGAAACAAACAAAAACTATTTTAAAAAAAATTAAAATTACCCTACCTGTCTGACCATTTCGACGGTGATGTCGAGCGATGGTTTACCTTTGAATGGAGTTAATTCTTCAATTAGATTGTTCCACTCCTGCCCCCACATGTTGCCTGTTGTGTAATTCACGATTATGTTGATTTCAGATTAAAGACATAATGTTTAATCTATTCCAGACTAATGGCGAGGGTTAAATTCTATTTTTTTAAAATTAATTTATCATAAAGCAACTGAACATACATTTGATAATTAGGCGTGAGAACCTTTGTTAAATCTTGACCTCAGGTCATTTATAAAACGACATTTATTAGAGACGTGAACTTGGGGAGAATAATTAAATACATTTTTTTTACACATTTCATCCATCCCTGTTGTGCTACAGCCTAATGCAGGGCTCTGGCCAACCTCACTACTTCCTTCCACTCAGACCTAACTAATGCTTTTCTTTTCCCTGCTTGGATTTCCAGCTGCTGTAGATTTTTTCACGTCATGTTTCAAGTTGTGTGTAACAATACATCAGATGACAAAAACGTCTCTTTGTTCAAGCTCTCATTCAAATTCATGGACTTTTATCACATACAGCAGATTCCCACTATACTGCTTTCGGCAATGACGCCCCCGCCATTTACGCACCCCACAATAACGCACCCGGCAGTTACGCACCCCACAAACACACGGCCGGCAGTTACGCACCCTGCAATAACGTGGCCTACTATAATGCGCCACGCGATAACGCGAAATCGGATATCGCGCGATCGTGCCACGGTTTCTCCAAACTTCGATTACCCTTAAAATATTTAACATAATTATTGGATTAAGTCTGAGGTCTTGAAAAATATATTTTTTATATATTTTGCTTGTGGTGTAGCTGCTTCCATTTCCGGATAGCGACGCAAAATATAATTCTGGATAGCGACGCAAAATATAATTCTCGATAACTACGCTCAATGACATTTTTTTTTAATAACGCAACTGCGTTTGGTGCGTAATATTTTCTTTCCTTTTCGGAAAATTAAACTCTCTCAATTTAAATATGGGTTAATAAATAATGGATTAAAAGTGATTTGGACAATAGAATATTAAAAATTTCACATGGGCGTGAAATAAAAGTGTGCAGTGAAGTATTGTGGGCGGTGGGGGACGTAGCAAAAAGGGAGATTCTTAAATGTACGTCACTTGAGTTCATGTTTTGTCGAGTAACTTATCAAGTGGCGTGGATGTTTACGCATTGCTAATGTTTGGCGAGCTACAACTAGTTTATTAAACTACGCTAGCGAAGTGATACTTGGGATTTCAAATTAATGCGCATCTGAGAACGAGAGTCGCCAAAATAGTAGCTGCCTTATCAGTCGCAATTATTTGAAATAATTTCCGCTGCACAAACTGCCAACGCTATTTGCACCGAATCACGACTTATGCGAGACCACGACGACCGTGTAAGTCGGTAGGTTCCCATGTGCATTGCTGAAGACGGAGTGTAAAAAAAAATTTGTCTAGTTTTAATTGATTTCTCTATTACTCTTTCTATTGCGTAGGACTTGACACCAGTCCGTTAGAATAAAGGTGTCTTCCTTTTGACGTGAAACTTGATCCCACATCCACCGAGGCCTTTAAGCGATTAATGTATAAGTGCACCATAAACGATATATGAAATGAGTTAGGCTAGTTTTAAGAACATTATTATCTTTTTATTAGGTTACCATGAAAAATGAACGTAGTTTTTGCACTAATTCTCCAGAGGACGTGATTAGATGTTGACTCAACTGTAGAATACAATTTGTATCTATCTATATATATATATATATATATATATATATATATATATATATACCACTTACCTAGAAGATGTGCTGGGATGTGACCAGAAGATGGAAACTTGTCACTCCCGTAGATTTGTTTGAGTTTTCTTCTGGCGTAGGCGTGCAGCTGTTCATACAATGGGCGGAGCTGGTCAAACAATGCTCTGACGTCATCCTCAAAGGTTGGAGTTTCATACCAGGAGCGCCAGTAGGCACCGGTGTCAGTGTAGCCTGTTTAAATTTAAATTAAGTTTAACTATTTCAATATGAATCAGAAAGAACTCATCTCCAGCACACCATTCTCCATACTTAATCATGGCGGCCAGTCTTGTAAAAATATTAACTAGATGAATCTATTTTTAAAAAGTACTTCATGTAAAGCTTTAAATGCCATAACTCTTACACTAATATCCCTCTAATTTCTTAGCAAATAGAAATAAAATATGTATTTCAGTTAATATTCACAAAGCAGCATTTGGACAAGATTATTAGAAAAATGAGGACTAAATGTACGAGATGTTAACATTGTGGAATCATCACAATATTAAAACGAACGACAAAACGTGGACATTTCTTGAAAGAATAAACATCACTTGCAGTAATATTGCTTCGGGATTTTACAGTTGGATCAGTGAAGACATAAACACAATTGGAAAATGGTACATTTATTAATATATTTGTTTAAAGAAAATGGTACATTTATTAATATATTTGTTTAAAGAAAATGGTACATTTATTAATATATTTGTTTAAAGAAAATGGTACATTTATTAATATATTTGTTTAAAGAAAATGGTACATTTATTAATATATTTGTTTAAAGAAAATGGTACATTTATTAATATATTTGTTTAAAGAAAATGGTACATTTATTAATATATTTGTTTAAAGAAAATGGTACATTTATTAATATATTTGTTTAAAGAAAATGGTACATTTATTAATATATTTGTTTAAAGAAAATGGTACATTTATTAATATATTTGTTTAAAGAAAATGGCACATTTATTAATATATTTGTTTAAAACAAAACCCCAGAAAATGATGAAATGAGCTTTGCTTACCCAATTATAAAAAGTGTTGGACTGCGATAAAGCTTTAAAATAGATTAATAAGACACGAACAAATTGTGTCAATAGAACCATGTAAGTTCCGCTTTGATAATAATTATGCATTATACACAATTGAACGTTTCGGCACACATGCCTTCATCAGTACAAACAAACAAAACACATTTAAGTAAGTATAAATTAAATTTACATAATATCAATATACATATCCTACCTAAAACAGAAAAAATATAGGAGAGGGCGCTAAAACCAGACAAAAACAAAGTAAAGAGGAGTAGAAAGGAAGTGATTTTAACATAATTGTAAAAACAAAACAGGAAAAGACATGGCAGCTAAGTAAAATTGTGGATTTGGTTCATTCATCTCCTATATTTTTTCAGTTTTAGGTAGGATATGTATAGGGATATTATGTAAATTTAATTTATACTTATTTAAATGTTTTTTGTTTGTTTGTACTGATGTGCCGAAACGTTTAATTGTGTATAATGTATACTTATTATTAAAGCGGAACTTATATTGTTCTATTGACACAATTCGTTCGTGTCTTATTAATCTTTTGCTTACCCAGCATTTGCAAAGCTTCCGTGCTCAAGTTCACGTACTCAACGTACAACTGTTTGATCTTGGCACCAGACTCAGCTCTCCACCCAACCCACGCCGCCAGAAGTTCTTCGTAGTTCCTTGAATTGGCCATAATTTCTGTCAAATCTGTGAACAACAATCAGTGACTTTGCGTTGGTTGCACTCATCTCCGTTTACATTAGGTTTGAGCTCTCCACGCGTTAATGAGATATTATGAAGGCATAAAATTCAAAGTTTTGTTTGCATCTGTTTAAGTAGTAAATCCAATCAACATTGAACGATTAATTTCTCCTCTCATTCCAACAAAAGAGTTTCCAGCATAATATTACTTCTTTTACCTGGATCTAAAGGTAGACTTTCCCCAGAAGGCATTGTTACCGTTGCTGTATTATAAATCGTCTCCATATCACTTTTGATTTTGTTGAGCTGATCATAAAATATGTTGGGTTCATTAATATAATTGAGATACATTTTTTTTTAAAGAGCAAAACTTCTTTCTGTCTTTCAGATCATGCTTAACACATATCTTGTCATTTATTTTCCCATTGCTCTGATTGGTGCCCGTATGAAAGTTAATGTGATAGTAATATATGATCCCAACTGGTCTGTGTAACAACCAATCGCTATTCCTCATTCTACATTCTTTTTTATACCTCAAATCACATACCTCCAACCCAATATTCACATCTTTAAATTTAAACATTCATGAAAACATCTCACCACATCCAGTCATACGACGTGACAACAACAAAGGCCAATCAGGTCACAAAGTTCACTCAGTAACACACTGCAACAATTATCACTCAAACCTACTAATCAAAGTTTAAACCATGAAAAAAAAATCCCAGCTGAGCTCTCCTCTGTTAGGACCCGTTGCAAAAAGAAAATGCCGAAATACGCCAGCAATTTCAAAGTGATGAACAACGATGAAATAATTCAATATTATTATTCTAAATCATTACAAATAAGACGTCCATTTTATTCCACCGATTTTTGAGCAGGTATATCTATCCATTAAATGAAAAAGATCGTCAAAGCTCAGATGGCCACCCCCGTCACCGATACAGCTGCAGATGGCCACTCCTGTCACCGATACAGCTGCAGATGGCCACCTCCGTCACCGAAACAGCTGCAGATGGCCACTCCGTCACCGATACAGCTGCAGATGGCCACCTCCGTCACCGATACAGCTGCAGATGGCCACTCCTGTCACCGATACCGCTGCAGATGGCCACCTCTGTCACCGATACAGCTGCAGATGGCCACTCCGTCACCGATACAGCTGCAGATGGCCACCTCCGTCACCGATACAGCTGCAGATGGCCACTCCGTCACCGATACAGCTGCAGATGGCCACCTCCGTCACCAATACAGCTGCAGATGGCCCTCTCCGTCACCGATACAGCTGCAGATGGCCACCCCCGTCACCGATACAGCTGCAGATGGCCACCTCCGTCACCGATACAGCTGCAGATGGCCACCTCCGTCACCGATACAGCTGCAGATGGCCACCCCTGTCACCGATACAGCTGCAGATGGCCACCTCCGTCACCGATACAGCTGCAGATGGCCACCCCCGTCACCGATACAGCTAGTAAATTGACGGCTGCCTCTTAAACATGTTTCTTTCTTCGTTTTGTATGTTTGTTGTTGTTTCTTTTGTTTTACTTACATCAGTCAAATGTAAAGCGTTATCTCAATCTCACAGGCAAATGTTAATACATAATTCAAAACTATGATCGCCTTTGCTCTTACACGATCCAGTGTGGTTCTATTGCTCTTTGCAGCTGGTCCCATTTCCTTGATTTTGGTGAAAAGTCTCTTATCTTGGGGACTCATCGCGGTCAGGTTGTATTGGGTGGCGTTTGTATACGCTTCCTGTGCAAACTTGTCGGTCATCATTTGTTGGACAAGCTGGAAAAGGCAACAGTTTTTCCGACGTTAAAGTCAAATAGTGTTTTACTTAGATGCTTAACTGGGTGTATAAGAGATGTTGAGTGGGCCTTGCAACCCTGGCGTGGGTCTTGCAACCCTTGCGTGGGTCTTGCAACCCCCGCGTGGGTCTTGCAACTTGCAACCCCTGTGGCTGGAGGGTTGTCTCAAATATTTAAGGGGCTCAAAGTTGTTATGTGGGGAACGAATAATAATTTGAATGCATGAGGCACGAATCCGAAAAGTAGCAAAGGGCATCCAAAAGTCAGGCGACGGCCCTGTTGTGTATATGTTATGGTGGCATATATGTATATTGGTGTGTAATTTTATTACGATGTATGCTTTTCCGTGGTTATAACTCTTTTATCTTTTAAAGGATCATAGGGTGCAAAGTAAGTTTTTTAAAATAAATATTAAAAAAAAAAATTGTTATTAGAAAGTACGTTCATAACAACTAAATCTAGTTTTCTCATATTCAGGATTAAAAACTTGAGATTCTTTCAAACTAATTCAATAATAATTAAAAATTTAAAAACAGGTGATTCAATTTTTTAAAATTAAATTCATTGTTTTTCACCATTACTTATAGGTTCAATTGCTACGATTAGCTGTAGGTTACATTGTTACCATTTGCCGCTGGTTGTACTCAGTTATATTGGAGTAGAAGATCCAAGAAACTTCAGCTTCTGTGCTGAAAACAATCTCAGCCTGACGGTCAAAGTTGTCAAGAAATGATTTGACCTCATCCTGGTCAGTGATTAGGTCCTGACCGCTGGCCACACACGTTGTCAGAACAGCGAAATAAAAGATGTCTATGAACATTGTCGATGTTCACGGGAACTGTTGATACAATTAACGATGTTAGAAACATAAACTACACGATGCAACAAGACGTGTCACTTACTAGACATGTTTAGAGTTATAGTTTAATGTAGCGAGGACAACGACACGAAACATTTTTTTAATGAAAATTTGTGAAGGTCCAACTGTGTTTTCATGAGCTGTAATTAAAAACTACAATAGAAAAATGTAAATAAAAATAGATCAGTCTAAAAATAGATCCGTCTAAAAATAGATCAGTTTACAAATAAATAGAAAACAAATTAATATTTTATACCGAAAAAAAATGATGTCTAACAGATGAAGTGACACGTATTACGACTCTACGACATAATTTGTGAAACTTTTTTAAATTGAAATACGTTTTAACTGTTGAATAAAGATGTCCTAAACTCTTGTTCTAAACACATGTCATGACGCACATTTGACTTAAAGTATTGAGTGTTGAACTGATAGGAGATGTCAAAAAGTTTTTTTACCTGGTCTAACGTTTAGCTGTTTGAAAACTGATTCAGTCGATGTTAGGTCGTGGATTTGGAGGGGGTGGACGCCTCAAAAACTGTTAATTAAGATCGATGTCCCATAACGCAGTCTCTGGCTAGTTGATTATAGGTTGAAACCAGTTTCCCTAATGATTGGTTTACAAAAACAAAGTAATGATTTTTTAATCACTTAACTACCGCTGGGTTTTGGGCATCGATTTTCGCTGACTCTGCAATTTTGGGCCTTTTGCCAGCTTTGAAACACCAAGCACTATTTGGAGTGGTTTTTTTTAATGGCCATGTTTGAACAAGTCTATATCTTTTTTTTAGTTTTCAAGTAGACCTAACATGTGTATGACTAATAAAATTCAGCATTGAATAAATATTTAGAGGATTCTAGTTAATGTCATCAAAGGTCAAGGTCATGGGGTCACACTGACCACGAATTTTTTTTTAGGAAAGACCTAGTCTAGAAAAAAACCCAAACCAAAACAACAGAGTTGGATTATACAAATATTGAAAGTATTAATAACGTGTAAATAAACAAACTGTCACGATCATCTTTTTGAGCCTGTATGGCTACATTTGTATGTGTTAATGCTCAAAACATCGTCCAATACAAAGTCCTGGTTGGCCTGGGCATTTCGGACAGTAGTATCTTGACTCAAAACGACTGCCCTTTTTGTAGCAAACTCTACATCTTTTGTGGGGATTTGCCTTTTGATCTGTTGCAGGGAGCTGGTGAATGAAGTGTGGTTCATTTAATCTAGAGGTTTTAGAAAGGATAGTGTCCCTTCATTGAAAGATGAGATGTCTTATGCATTGGATGCTAAACTGAAGGAAGTTCTTTCCGTCACCAAATTGCTTGTTAAGGTGGTGAGCGTTTAAAATGGCCAGTTAAATGAAATTTAAACCTAGCTTCACATACCGCCTATGCGTTTTTCTTGATGTACTGATTGGTTCCAGGACCTGGCCCAGTCTGTCGACACCACCAATTCCTTGGTTGTAATGTTAAACCAAAACTGGCAAATCAATTTCGGTTCGGCCTCTTCGCATTTTCTTAGTAGTCCCTGATGAAAAAGCACTCATCAATCATATAAACAGTCTTTTTGTCCATGATCTTTTGGGCAAGTATCTGCCAAGATATGATTGAAACTGTTTCCCCTTTCTTTGCTGGGATGGATGTAAGCTCATTCGGGACTCTATTGCTATGAGCTGTACATAGGTTTTACTTTTGTGTATGAAACCTGATGAGAGGTATAGAGTTGTACCAGTTGTCAATGTACAGGTGGTAGCCTTGGTTTAGAAGTGGAGCAAGGAGCTCCAGGGCTACCTTAGAAGTCATTGACAGTTGTTGACACTCCTCTGGGACATAGTTGTCTATTTTGTATAGTGGGTCCTGCTTTCCAGTGTACACACGAAAGCGATACAGATAGCCTGCCTCATCACACAAACAGAAAATCTTTATTCCAAACCTATCTCTTTTGAGGGGTAAATACTGTTTGAAAACTAATCTGCCCTTCCACAGCAGCAAAGATTCATCACTCCAAATATCTCTATCAGGGAAGAAAGCTTGCCTGGAAACACTACATTGAAATGATCCAACAAAGGTCTAATTTTATATCATCTGTCTCTTTCAGCGGCTGTACGTGGGCGCTCATTTTAATTATTGTTGAAATGAAAAGTATGCATAACTTTCAAAAAGTGGGTGCGTCTCATGACAGCTAAGAAAACTGGAGTAGATAATCTTGACTCCACTAGTCTAGATAACTGGGTTTTTGAATAACGCCCATTAATTTAAATTTTCATATCTCCCAATTTTTTTAAAATAAAGATGTGCCTAAAAGTAATTCAATAGTCTTTACCTGATTATAATGATAATAATTACACTTAATTCTTAATTTACAGAAACAGAAACATATTATGTTATTTAACACTTTGAATCAGCATTTATTTTAAAGTAACCAAAAAAAAAAAGAAAGAAAAATATTTGTTTTAAAATTTGATACAATTCTTTCTTATTTTTCTTATTGAGTCAATGACCTGATGGCTTATGATAAACTCAACAAGGAACGTTCGAAAATTTTTGAGATTTTTTTTTGGACTCCCATAGCCTGTACCACGATAAGCTGCGTAACGCTGTTGATACATTGTCTTAAGACCTCTCTAGGGTTTTGAAAACTCAGTAGCTTGGACATCTTTAGCCTTTAGTACGTCTCTTGAGTTTGGACAGCCCAGTAGTTTGAACATCTTAAGCCTTTAGTACGTCTCTTGAGTTTGGAAAGTCCAGTAGTTTGGACATCTTAAGCCTTTAGTACGTCTCTTGAGTTTGGACAGCCCAGTAGTTTGAACATCTTAAGCCTTTAGTACGTCTCTTGAGTTTGGACAGCTTAGTAGTTTGGACATCTTAAACCTATAGTACGTTTCTTGAGTTTGGACACCCCAGTAGTTCGGACATCTTAAGCCTTTAGTACGTCTCTTGAGTTTGGACAGCCTAGTAGTTTGGACAACTTAAGCCTATAGTATTTATCTTGAGTATGTCTCTTGAGTTTGGACAGCCCAGTAGTTTGGACATCTTTAGCCTTTAGACATCTCCAGCTTTAGGCAACCAAGTAATTTGGACATATTAAGCCTTTAGACGTCGCTATAGTTTGGACAACCAAGAAGTTTGAACATCTTAATCTTTAGACTTCTCTAGCTTTAGACAACTCAGTAGTTTGGACATCTTAAGTCTTCAGACACTTTTAGACTATGGACAACCCAGTAGTTTGGACATCTTAATCCTTCAGACACTTTTAGATGATTGGCAACCCAGTAGTTTTGACATTTTTAGCCATTAGAAATATCTAGATTTCGGACAATCCAGAAGTTTGGATATCTTAAGCCTTAATTATCCAGAAGTTTGGACACTGTAAGCCTTTAGTACTTCTCTAGAGTTTGGACAACCCACAAGTTTGGACTCCTTAAGCTTTTAAACATCTTTAGACTTTTGACAACCCAGTAGTTTTGACATTTTCAGCCTTAGGAAATCTCTAGAGTTCGGAAAACCTAGTAGTTTTGACAACACTGTAGTTTGGACACCTTAAGCCTTCAGAAATATTTAGACATTGGATAACCATATATTTTTGTCACTTTTAGCCTTTACAAATTTCTAGAATTTGGACAACCCATGCAGTAGTTTGGAAAACCCATGCAGTAGTTTGGACAACCCATGCAGTAGTTTGGACAACCCATGCAGTAGTTTGGATCAACCCATGCAGTAGTTTGGACAACCCATGCAGTAGTTTGGACAACCCATGCAGTAGTTTGGACAACCCATGCAGTAGTTTGGACAACCCAATGCAGTAGTTTGGACAACCCAATGCAGTAGTTTGGACAACCCATGCAGTAGTTTGGACATCTCCACAGTTGTGACATCACTAGTGTTGTGACATCTCCAGATCCTGACATATATGTATCATTAACACAATTAAATAAAGTGAACTGTGGATATTAAAGATGACGCGTCACTGCCACTGTGATCGACAAAGACGGCGGTTGGGTGAGGGGCCAAAAATAGAGGACGCCAGCCTCAGTCTGCCGAGCGATCGGGGGGGGGGGGGCGGGGGACGAAAATGGAGGACGCCTGCCGAAGTCTTCCCGCCGACCNGGGGGGGGGGGGGGGGGGGGAGGCCTGAGCACAACCTAGACTTTTTTAAAGGAAAAATAAAAAAATTTGGGGATTTATTTTGGGCACAAAACTTAATTTAGATTTCCATTATTCTACACTTAACCGGAGAAAAACGGAAGACTTAATGGAAGTGGAAATTTTGGGTTCCGTTTAACAGCTGTGTTTATATCAATCCCTAAATTTTAAAAAAATTACTTTATAGTAATATTTTTAAAAAAATTATTTCTAATTGAATGAAGAGAAAATTGTATTTGTGATACAGCCGTTGGGCCTTAATATTTACGTTTCGGGCCACATACAGCAGTTGGGCCACAGTATTTACGTTGAGGGCCGCATGCAGACATTGGGCCACATCATTTACGTTGTGGGCCGCATGCAGCCCCGTGTTGGGCCACCGTGCACTAGATTTCAGACATCTCACAGATAACGAATTCAAATATAAAAACCTACAAGTCATCTTCCGTTCCCTCACATTTACTAGTGTGAGGGTTAAAGGTCATGTTTTGTAATGACCAGCAAGTATTTTATAAACGGATGTCCACCCACTCACGACCGTCCGCTGGATGAAGTCAGTCATTGATATTCGATGCGAGCTCGTTACGTCCCTACTGTAAAACAAGACACATTGGGAAAAACTTGTATTGATTGTAGTTGTAAAGATTTTTTTAGTCCTCTGACCTGTCTAACATTATTGTAAGCATACCATTTACAACATCATTGTATACAGTGAACATGGGTCGGGAAAGAGACCTTTTCTGTCCATCCTTCTAGACAAAGGCGGTTAGGTGGGTTAACAAAAACGAAATCTGTGCCCATTGAAAGATACCTCAACAATTTATGTTTTGGACACTTTTTGTGAAAACATTTCTATTTGCCGTCCAATGTAAAGTCATGTGTAAATTTCTGGACATACCTCGCCACACAGCCCCATAGTCACATACCCCCAGCCACACAGTAACTTACCACTCAGTCTCACAGTCACTTACACCCAGCCACACAGTAACTTACCCCCGGCCACACAGTAACTTACCACTCAGTCTCACAGTCACTTACCCCCAGCCACACAGTAACTTACCCCCATCCACACAGTAACTTACCACTCAGTCTCACAGTCACTTAGCCCCAGCCACACAGTAACTTACCCCCCGCCACACAGTTACTTACCACTCAGTCTCACAGTCGCTTACCCCCAGCCACACAGTAATTTACCCCCATCCACACAGTTACTTACCCCGAGCCAAAAAGTCCCCTACCCCCAGCCATTTTTCACCTAGATCCACCTTTCGGTCTCACATTCACCTACCACCCAGACACACATTCGTTTACCATCTAGTCCAAAAATCACTTACCACTTAGCTCCACGGTCAATTACCATCCGCCACACAGTCATTTAGCCCCCCCCCCCAGCCACACAGTCATTTACCCCGCAGCCACACAGTAACTTACCACCCAACCACAAATTCACTACCCCCAAGTCCACAGTCACTTACCCAATAGCTACACAGACCAGACACACATTCGTTTACCATCTAGTCCAAAAATCACTTACCACTTAGCTCCACGGTCAATTACCATCCGCCACACAGTCATTTAGCCCCCCCCCCAGCCACACAGTCATTTACCCCGCAGCCACACAGTAACTTACCACCCAACCACAAATTCACTACCCCCAAGTCCACAGTCACTTACCCAATAGCTACACAGTCGAATGAAAACATGTACCTTGACTATTAATGAAGCTCTTCCTTACGGCCTAACTGCTTTTAATACATCTTACAGTCCCCTTAAACTCGAACCGGTAAATGCTTACAGAGTTAATTAATTGCACCGGGTTTCTGTTACTTTGTTTGAATGGATAAATTCTTTTTATTTAATCTTGTACTATAATAAGTTTCCTTAATTTGTATTTTTAGGATTTTTTTTTTAAATGTCGACGACTTTTCCCTGGAACTTTTGAAATTTTAATGTGTGCAAGTGCACTTGAGTCGCACTGTCGAGCGTAGCAGGTCGAGGGGACGATATGCGTGCAGCCACTTTGTATGTCAAGTCTGATGCCTAGTATATGCAATATCCGACGCCTACTCCAGCGGTTCCTAAGATGTGGGGTCACGACCCCCTTGGAAGTGAACGACCCTTATACGGGGGTCACCTAAGACCATCGGGAAACACATAATTTTACGGTTGTGGGTCACCACAACATAAGGAACTGCAATAAAGGGTCGCGGCATTAGGAAAATTGAGAACCACTGGTCCACGCTGATTGTTGTGGCCCTTCCCTGCCTCTCATTGGTCATGTGGTAACAAACTGGTGTGCTTACTAAGGCAGGTGGGCGACCATTTTGTTTTGCCACACAACTTAACACAACTCACGAGAATAGTTGTGCGTCCAGTGATTGAGTACATGCGAAAAGTTGCGTATAATAAAAGGGGTGAAGAGGTGGCTGATCTGCCCCAGTAGGCTCATTTTTCCTGATATGGAGGGATGGCACATTCCGCCAACTGCAGAGTTGTTTTCGTGAAAGTGAGATGAAATAAAGTTGGGGAGCCAAACGGTCTAAACTGAGCAAATCACAAATTATTGTCTGGAGTACAGTCCCCTCCAAAGTCGAGTCAAGCAGAATCAGGACCCCGAGTAGATGGGACTCGTTAACCTTGGATGGCAACTCATCTAAGAGAAGGAAACTCTGAATTCAAAACCCGGAGATGGATTCCCGTAAGCGGATAACATTGGCAGAGAGGAAACATTCCGACAACTCTTGCGATGTCACTGGTGCCAAGCTGCATCATACATCATAATCATAAAAAATAATCCCAGGCCTTATAGATTTCAACCTGCGAACTCTACACCGTCGTCACATTGGGACGGAGGGATGAGAGCAAAAAAAATTAAAACATAAAATTTAAAAAAA